GAGAAAAAAAAAAAAAAAAAAGAATGATAGTGAAAAGCACACAAGTTATAGTTCAAAAGAAAAATCTGTACAAGTGGAATGAAGTCAGGAAGGGAAAGAAAGCATAACAAAAAAGGATTTTGTGATATGCATTACACACACATTAAACAGTCAAGTGGGAGTGTTACAATTAAATGCAATACACAACCGCTATATTTCTTTATTTTGCAAGAATGGAGAGTTGGGTGACTATAACAAGTATTCCACAATGACTAGTAGTCATTTGAGTTAATGTTTCCAGCCCTGGTTACACAGTTGAACTTACACAGCATTATATTCTGGGTCTACAATATGACTGGAGCCTATCCCACGTGGAGTACAACATTGTGCCCCACATCCTTGCAAAAAAGCAGAATAGCTTTGCAACATTGCGCCCTTCAGCATATGGAGGACGGATGGCACACACTTCAAGTCATTCACAGGTTTTGTTCTGTAAATAGCCTCTTAGAAGGAGGTTTGCCACCTAAAGACAAAGAACAATTTAAAACTAGTCACAAATTTGTGAAAAGGGATCTTGGTTTAAGAGCAGGGCAAGTCTGACAACTGTTACTCCTACTTCAGTGTTACATTAGTTTTGAGTCCTTGTATTTAAAAAAGGCAGTCGTGCTTTAGTTAAATGGAGAGATATTGTAGGGATTACTGAATATACCGTCTGCCCGTGCAACTGTGTAACACTTCCCTCCTTAAACAGTCAGTTATTTTGATCCCACCGCTCTTAAAATTTGTTGCTGAGTGATACTTATTTTGCCCCCCGCAACTTGTCTAAATTCCATTGTGCATGCATCACACGTGAACAAAAGTGGCGGCAAGCTGAAGCGACTTGGAGTTCTGTGATTAAGAAAATTCATCTCACAAAAGGCCTACAGACCAATAACTAGTATACAGACTAATGTGTGAGTACTCATTCTATCAGCTTTCAAAACAAAACTTAAGACAAGTGAAGTCAAATCTAGCAACCAAGGAAACTGCTGTTCCCCCCCTCAAGTTTCTCAGCTCCACAGAACAATATCAAAGATTGTTTTACACTTGAGTGTAAAACTTGATTTTCATGATTCTGAAACTGTGGGTTTTTATCTTCATGTTTTATAGAAATACTACAG